GTGGGCGTTTCACTTTATTATTGGTCGGTTCGTCTATCGATCACATTTCACATATACCTCCTATATAAATACTTGTCCGAGTTTTGAGCGACCACTTGATCGCTTCCATAGACATGATGACGTTTTTCATCCGCTCCCAAATTGTGCAACATGCTTCTGTCAGATATTTGTTACAATCAAGGGACGTTTTCGGCTTTCCCCAGGCTTCTCTGACGCGAGCGTAAATACATTAGAACTGATAACAAGTACTTCTATTTTAGTGGGGCTTTGAACAGTCTCTCGCACAATTTACTTTTTGTTCTGGAACATGTTTTCATTTAGCATGTGGAATCCCAATTTATCTTTATTCAAATCTTCTCAGCAGAACGTGGCCAAATCATTCTCTTTGAATCTTTTTACCTTAAGTCTATAAATATAACCAGCTGGGTTATACAAGCAAGTGTAAGTGGCTTATTGCTCTTTCTTCCTTACGTTGATGATGTTTATTCGCCTTCAATACTGTAAACCTTTTCTTTTTATTGATGACCTCAAAGTAGTTTATTCATTCTTGCCTCCTACAAAAAAACCTTATTTCAGCAGTAATCAAAGAGGACAAAAGTAAGTTATGTTTCAGTGCATTCCGACAACAATGTTCACCAGCAAAGTTAGAAACTCTTAATCAGGAGCAATAAATCAAACTCTAATCAACTGCCAGCATATATATGGCATTTCTTAAGCTTGGTACTCACCTCCTCCTACTCCATCTTATAATCTTACAACTTGTTTAATAAAGACAATACTCTATCGATTCCGTTGACTTACACAAACGTACGTCATCACTGCAACTCGGTTCAAAAGTTCAGTTGATGACTTTCTTCAAGCATTAGGTTTGTGTCACTTAATAAATATCTGCTTGATTATATGATAATTAAAAGTATTCGAACTATTGTATTAACCAGGAATTTCAGAGAGAGTGCAATTAAAGCCAAAGAGAACTATGTGAACACAAACGAAAGTATTGTATAGAGAAGTCGAAACTAACCAGGAACTAAGTACAGAATAATCATTAATTTTGAGTGGCCCGGGATCTGACTCTAGTCCGATTGTTATTGAAATATACACGTCGCCGGTTCTCGTATATAATTATCGACCTAAATGACTTTGGTGAATAACTAAATCAAGTCAAATACGAGGATGGATTTTTGGATACGTTGATGGTAAAGTGAAGATGAACAAAATCGCGCGCAATGGAGAAGACAACTCAGCAGTAAAGTTCGAGTCCGGGGGTTAAGATCAACTCTGGGTACAGGTACACATTGTTAACTAGTCCTACATAGGACGATTACATGCTAGCCTCCATCCAACTTTGACTGCGTTCTACATTTAGAAATATAAGCCACCAAATCATTTTATTGCAGAGAATAAATCAGGTTCATGTGCAGAAGATACATTTATGTGATGATTTCACCGGAGACTAAGCAAACATAGCATTATCAATCGTTGTGCGGAGTCCCAATTTTTAGGTCTCCGATATCCCTACAAAAATAGTCAATAGCAGAAATAAGTACGACTACAAGGCGATTTAGGGAACTCGTTGAAATGTATGGTTCTTCAGTTGAATTACTAAGCATATTATTTCGATGAAATGAAATAATACTGATTACCAAGGTCAGACCTCAGTTGTTTGAAATAAATTAATTTGAAGTGAAGCGTACATAGGCTGTGATGGTGAGCTAAAAGATGTATGCTCTTCGTGGGAATGGTGACCATTATCATCATCAATGTCTTGCAGACAAGCATCTGAGTCTGATGTACTGTGTTTACGTCCATAGGTGCAAATATATCTGGCGAAAAAATACTTCAGAGTTGGGTCGTCAATGTTCTTTATACATAATGGCATGACGTAAATAGTGTGCGCAAAAGGTAAAAATAATTATGTGCTTCTGTCAAACAGGTCTCAACAGTTAAGCCGTCGCAATAGCATAATAACACTGAAGAGTCGTCCGATATAATACATCATTACGATGGCATCACTTCCGTTACTTGGAGGATGGATGCTACCAGACTTAGTGTGGCTGAAATCAAATGTCTTGAATTGACCGCTTCTGCAAAAGCTTGCCAATTGTCGAGGTGACGCACCAGTAGTCAACAAACTGAGCATAGCTTAAGAACAGTAAATCGTACAATAATAAATTACTGGTTTCGCGCGCGAGGTCCTGCGTTCGAATCTCGCAGGGGGTGAGGTCGCGGATGCGCACTGCTGAGGAGTCCTAAAATAGGACGAAACGGCCGTCCAGTGCTTCCAGGTTTTCCATGGTGATCTAGCTTTAACTGACTCATGATCACAACCATTGAAATAAATTATAGGTCAAAATAAAGCTTATAACAAGGGGGATATATATATACACAATCTAGTTACTGAATATTTATACCATGAGAATATATAAATAATATTAGTTCATTAATAGGTCTCAGTTGTTACTCCTTATGTAATCTTCACTAGGATATAACAGATAATATACCTAGGTTCTTAACTGGAGTTACCGGTGACACATTTCTACCAAATACGGAAGTCTGTTAAGCTCTAAACGTCTTCCATTCCGTCCAGAGCCATTTGAATACTTTCACATTTAGATACTTTTTGGACTCAATTCCTTACATTCATTGAAAAGGATGCCTACAGAACAGTAAAACGCTAACCATTTGAAATTAGATGGTGGTTGGAGGTAGCCAACAGGAAACCCTGGACCCGGGTTTCGTGCTACTTGGCACTTGTCAGCAAGGTGTACCTGTAATCTTGGGGGAACTGGTGCTCCCTGGCGGATCCGATCTCGTGTCACCCAGCTTCACAGTCAGAGACGTTACCACTGAGCTATCCAGGAGGCGACCGACCTCCCATAGGAACAATGAAATCTGAGATGATGAACTGATATTTGCAAAAGAAATAGTCAAGTATGAGCCAATGGATTGATATTTTGTAAATGAAGTATTTACTGTATGGTTCTCAGATTTTAGTGAGATGATCTGTAATTTTGTGCTCAAATACATTCGATTGTCCCCATTTGTGTTCTCGTTCACTAAACTATAACTTCTTCTGATGTATAGAAAATACATTAACGGAACTTTTTATTCAATTGAAAGAGAAGTATGTTTGTTTGTTTTTTTTCTCATCTTAAATGATTATTTTATACAATGGATAGATGATAAAGTAAATCAAATACTAAACAATAAAGAAAACGTTAAATACAAAGTACTTGTCAACTGACCATTTAATATATAAGTAAATACATATATATACAAGTAAAATAAATTATACAAACTTTAGTAGATAGATTAAACTTTAATATATTATCACTATTAGAATTAAATGTCCAGATTACTTTTCGTTGATAATTATATGATGGTATATTAGCCGATGGTAACCATAAATTATGAGGAGGATTAAAATATATTACTTTATTAGTTTTAATTTGTTTTTTGATTGAATAACGAGATGTTTTAATAGAATTTGCATCAAATTGAAATAATGTTTTGATAGAATCTGGTAAAGATGTAGAATGAATTTTGTTATTAGATTCTAAATAGTTTAAAGTTGTTAATACTGTACTCTAAAATTGAAGAAAGACCATATTAGTAAATTAGCTTGCTTTAAATTACCTAGGCAAAACAGTGAAAAAGTTTTACAATTGATTGATCACTGGGTGGTGATCAATCTCATGCTTGTCTAGTCCTTATTAGTGCAGATCGAATGCTATCGATCATGTTGCAATGTGGCCACCAATCTAGGTGACTCGACACTGCGGGCACTATGTATTGAGATTTAGATGGTGGTTGGAGGTAGTCAACAGGAAACCCTGGACCCGGGTTTCGTGCTACTTGGCACTTGTCAGCAAGGTGTGCCTGTAATCTTGGGGGAACTGGTGCTCCCTGGCGGATCCGATCTCGTGTCACCCAGCTTCACAGTCAGAGACGTTACCACTGAGCTATCCGAGCCGTGAATAACCTCCTGTAGGACTGAGATGTAATCACAATTGATTGATCACTGGGTGGTGATCAATCTCATGCTTGTCTAGTCTAGTTTCAATTTATGATCCAGAAATCATCTTGGAGATAAAAAATCATGAACAAAATAGATTAGAAACATAGCTGTAATGTGTTTATACTTTGCTGAAACAACGGATTACATTAAAATTTTATTTACTTAACAATCATAGAATGATTTCTGCAGTAGCGGTGAAAAAAAAACAGATGGTCGACACTGTTTTATTCAGAAACCGAATTGTAAACCTTCGTTTTGATTTTCGACAAGGCATCCTGTAATAGTTTCTCTGTTATAACGCCTAAGTCTATTCTGGATTTCGGAACGACTTTGATATGTCAGATAACATCTGACTAAAATCATTTTCACAATTCTAAAAACTTCATTCACTTCAAAAGCAATTGTGACCATCAATGTGTGTATCCATTTTATTATTGTTCTAGTCAAATCTCTACTTGTGCGTATTATGAACGTCTGTATATCTGTACACTTAATTATCATACCCAATGTCTGTCACTTTGCTCATATTAGTCAATGTCTATTTTGAGAAGACAGTGTTTAGCTCCAATTGGTTTCACATATTATCTGATTGCATTAACAGATGTATGACATATATGGATCTAAAACTTTCGTACTTTACTCATAGTTCCCTTGTTCAATAAACATCAAAGATGTGAATAAATACGAAGTTAATTAGGGAGCTATAATCTATTGTTTTCTCTTAAGAATCATTAGGAGTCAACTAAATGGCACTAAAAAAAAACAAGAAAATGAGCATATAACAGGTACACTATTTCAATGCTTGAGCTAGATTAAGCATTGAGGCGTTTTCTACTCTGATCCTATGTTTATATATCAGCTCCTTATGTAACTAAGCCATTATTCCTATACAGTACGTATTTAATAAATTAATTCGAATTCTTTGAAACATTGGTTGTAAATATTGAAGATTTTCGAAATGTAGTTTAAAACAACATTGCTTCGAATTAATTTTTATTATGCTTCACCATGATATGCAGTTAAATATCGACGCATACGTCAAAAATATGAGACTAAACATAACTCTTGAAGATGATTAAATAGATTAGATAACTAATCATAGCACGTAAAAAGTGGATGTTAATAGTAAGATATACTATGATATAGCTAAGCAACATGGTCCTAGAAAATAAAAGGACATTCGTAAGCTACAGGCATCCAACCATAGATACCCTCAGAGCATTACTCGCGTATGTCGGAACTTTCGAGGTAGCAGTGCTAAAGTTAGATAAGTGGTACCAGGGAAAGGTGGAAAATTGGTTGGTGATGCAGCGAATCTCCATCGATTAGGGTGGTTAGGGAAATACAGGACACTTATGAGCATAACCACTGTCCATCTACATGTGTGACGTTTGTTAGTGTTGAAGTAGGCTGAAAGAAAGCTTACTTACTCCGGTCACTCCTCGTGGAGGATCATAGACCGCCATGAGCATTCTCCATCCAACTCTATACCAGGCGAATCTTCCCAGTTGCTATTCATCCTTTCCATGTCTGCTTCCAATTTCCGACACAGTGTGTACTTTGGCCTTTCTCTTTCCCGTTTCCCTTCACGATTCCAGGTAAGCGCTTGACTTGTGATGCAGTTTGTTGATTTCCGTAATGTATGTCCTATCCACTTCCAACAACTTTTCCAAATTTCTTATCCAGCCAGATCCCAGTGTGTTCTCCGCCACAGTAGGTTTTTGCTGATGGTATCCGGCCGACGGACATTGAGTATCTTGAGTAGACAATTGTTTATAAAATACGTACATCTTTTTGATGATATCTGTAATAGTTCTCCAAGTTTCAGTTCCGTACATTAGAACTGTCTTGACGCTCGTAATAATAAAAATAATAACAGCTTGGATAAATTATGAGCAGAGATGGATGTATAAATGCTTTAATATCGAACTTAAATCGAAACTTGGAAACATTAACAGTAAAATAATAACTTATAAAAATTGCGTAGTAAGAAATATGTGAATAATCAGTTCACATATGAAAGCAGTAAAGAAGAGATATAAAAATTGATGGAAAACAACCAAAAGCAGGGTGTGGAAAAATGATCAAAATCGTCTATCAATTAATATCAGGCTAAGGAAAAGGACAGGAATGTTACAAATTTATTGTGAAAACATAGAACAGTATTGTAGACTCGTAGCCCGTTGGAAAACTGAGAGGGTAAACGGTAGAAAATATTTACTATGTAAGTCTTTCACAATATTGTCAACAAATTGACGAGATAAATGTTGTGTCAAGTTCAGAATATTAGCTGGTTGCTTTATAATCAAATTAGAAAATGGAGTTGTGAACGAAATTTAGGAAAAACTAGACTTATTGACGATACATTCCTCATCATCGATCAGAACACCAATAAGGAATTCTTAAGTCAGTTTATTAGTGTACACTCGGTAGTGACTATCACTTGTGAAAATGTGTGTGATAACGATTTGTATATCCTTTACATTTTATTAAGCAGACAGTAAAACAGCTTGTTAAGAATAAACATGTATAGAAAGAACTCTACTGAATGCAATGTAATGAAAAATATACAGACCATTATGCTTACTGGGTTTGCTGTTGAATAACTCGGCAATGGAAGGAAAACAGTTACGTTATCTATAGATTGAATTCTACTTTCCCCTTTAATCGGCACATAATGAGGATCAGAATTATTTTGAATTACAGATTGCATAATTTCAGTTATGTGTTGTAGATCTTTAATGACACGGACAGCCATAGGATTTATCTTAAGAAACGATTCATTTTCGATCAGATTTACGGTTATATTTGACCTGTAACGTAAATTATAAATACTTGTGAACGAGCTAACTACAGTATAATACATCACTTAAGAAAATGGTAGTAACAATCAGACTAATATATAAAAATAACAACAACAAAAATTAATAAAACTAAGACATAACAACAACTTAATTCACTTGGTATTGTTTTACTTGAATCTTCCCATTGATGTTTTAGGACTGAAATTGATCAGTGAATGAAACTTCAACCCAATGCACAAGCAAGTGGCTATCAGGACTCAGTAGCTAAGTGGATAACTCGATGGCGTTTGAAGCGAACGGTACTGAGTTCGAGTCCCAGAGTAAACATCAACTCTGAGATGCAGGTACATCCAGCTGACGAGTCCCAAGCAGGACGAAACGGGCGTCCTGGATTCCACTGCTAGCCACTAACCATCTTTGCTTATAACACTTACTTACTTACGCCTGTTACTCCTCGTGAAGGAGCATAGGTCGCTCACCAGCATTCTCCATCCAACCCTGTTCTGGGCAATCCTTTCTAGCTCCGTCCAGTTGTAATTCATCGTTTTCATATCTGCTTCTATTATCCGACGCAATGTGTTCTTTGGCCTTCCTCTTTTTCGCTTCCCTTCAGGATTCCAAGTTAGGGCTTGCCTCGTGATGCAGTTTGACGATTTGCGTCATGTATGTCCTATCCATTTCCATCGTCTTTTCCTAATTTCTTCTTCAGCTGGAAGTTGGTTTATTCTCTCCCACAGAAGGCTGTTGCTGATGGTATCCGGACAATGGATGTTGAGTATCTTGCGAAGACAGCTATTTATAAATACTTGTACTTTCTTGATTGTGGTTGTTGTAGTTCTCCAAGTTTCAGCTCCATACAGTAGAACTGCCTTGACGTTCGTATTGAAGATTCTCACTTTGATATTGGTTGAAAGTTGTTTTGAGTTCCATATGTTCTTCAATTGTAGGAATGGGACCCTTGCTTTGCCGATCCTCGCCTTTACGTCTGCATCGGATCCTCCTTGTTCATCGATGATGCTTCCCAGGTATGTGAAGGACTCTACATCTTCCAGAGTTTCGCCATCAAGTGTGATTGGATTGCTGTTCTCCGCTTTGAATTTGAGGACCTTAGTTTTCCCTTTGTGTATGCTGAGGCCTATTGATGCAGAGACTGCTGCCACACTGGCTGTCTTCATCTGCATCTGTTCGTGTGTACGCGATAGGAGGGCTAGGTCATCTGCGGAGTCCAAATCGTCTAATTGATTCTGAGCTGTCCATTGTATTCCGTGTTTTCCTTCAGATGTCGAGGTCTGCATAATCCAGTCGACCATCAGAAGAAAGAGGAAGGGAGAGAGTAAACAGCCTTGTCTGACTCCGGTCCTTACTTGGAATGCATCTGTCAGCTGTCCTCCATGCACTACTTTGCACTGTAGTCCGTCGTATGAGTTCCGGATAATATTGACAATCTTCTCAGGAACTCCGTAGTGTCGAAGAAGTTTCCATAACGTCCTCCTATCTACACTGTCGAATGCCTTTTCATAATCAATGAAGTTGATGTATAATGATGAGTTCCGCTCAACTGATTGTTCGACGATGATCCGTAGTGTTGCAATTTGGTCTGTGCACGACCGATCCTTACGGAATCCAGCTTGTTGATCTCGAAGTTGGGCGTCTACTGCATCCTTCATCCGGTTCAGCAACACTCTGTTGAAGACTTTCCCTGGTATTGACAGTAGTGTTATGCCTCTGTAGTTTTCACATTTGCTCAGATCTCCTTTCTTTGGAATCTTGACGAGGTGTCCTTCTTTCCAGTCCATCGGCACTTGTTCCTCCTCCCAAATCTTTTTGAATAGAAGATAAAGCATGCTTGTGGTTGTTTCGATGTCTGATTTCAGTGCTTCAGCTGGTATGTTGTCGGGTCCTGCTGCTTTCCCGTTCTTGATTTGTCTGACGGCCATTCTAATTTCTTCCGTAGTTGGTGGATTGACATCTATAGGAAGATCTGTGTGTGCTGCTTCGATGTCCACTGGATTCATTGGAGCCGGCCTATTCAGGAGTTCCTCGAAGTATTCTACCCATCTGTTACGCTGTTGTTGAATTTCGGTGATTGGCTTGCCTTCTTTGTCTTTGACCGGCCTCTCTGGTTTACTGTAATTCCCTGCTAGTTTCTTCGTTGTATCGTAAGGCTGTTTCATATTTCCTTCTCTAGCAGCTTTTTCTGCCGTCGTTGCTAGTTCTTCCACGTATTTCTTCTTGTCGGCTCTAATGCTCCTCTTCACTTGCTTGTTTGCTTCTATGTATTCAGCTTGTGCTTGGACTTTCTCTGCTCGTGTTCGGCTGTTGTTTATTGCTGCCTTCTTGTTCTTCCTTTCTTTGATCTTGTCCAGTGTTTCTGTAGAGATCCATTACTTATGATGGTATTTCTTTAGACCGAGAACCTCTTGACACGTTGAAGTTAATGCTTCTTTGATGCTTTTCCAGTTGTCCTCCATAGTAGTTTCTTCTTCTTTCAGTAGATCTTGTAAGGCTTGGAACCTGTTGTTGAGAGCTATCTTGAATTCATTGAGTTTGACAGTATCTCGAAGGAAGGCTGTATTGAACCTTTGTATTGCTGTTTGTCCACTTGTCCAGTTCTTTTTTAGCTTCAGTTTTAAATTGGCTACCACTAGGTGGTGATCTGAAGCTACGTCAGCACCTCTCCTGGTTCTCACATCTTCCATTGTCCTTCGGAATTTTTTGTTAATGCAAATATGATCTATTTGGTTCTCTGTAGTGTGGTCCGGTGAGATCCATGTAGCCTTGTGTATACGCTTGTGTGGAAATATTGTGCCTCCTATGACCAATTTGTTGAATGCACATAGATTTGAAATCTTTCTCCATTTTCGTTTCTTTCTCCCAGTCAATGTCGTCCCATAATATCTTCATATACAGTGTTGTTTATTCCGACTTTGGCATTTAGATCTCCCATCAGAATAGTTAGGTCCTTTCTTGGGCATTTCTCAATGATTGACTGCAGCCACTCGTAGAACTGATCTTTAATTTCGTCGTTGCTATCATTGATGGGTGCATAACATTGGATAATATTCATTAAGACCCCCTCCTTCTTAGAACAACAACTTAGTTATTTAAACTGGTTTAAGTGAAATGGGGGTTTTAAAAAGATGCATATATAATAATGACCATTACAGATGAACATTCAAAATGAAGTCCAATCGACTAATCACACAGCCTTTTAGATTTTGACAATAAAATAATATCAGTAGGGGTTTTTGTGAATATTATAGTAATTCCAATAGTTGAGATCATGAGTTAATTGAAGCTAGACCACTATGGAAAACCTGGCAGCACTGGACGACCGTTTCGTCCTATTGTGGGACTCCTCAGGAGTGCGCATTTACGACCCGCCTCACGAAATTCGAAAATAAAATACTAATAAAATTGATAAGAAAACTCCACTAGTTATAACTACCAATTTAATAAGCTCGCGAATACATACTTAAAAAGGAATAAGTCTTTACACAATTACAACTGCAATAAAATTTTAGAAAATGTCAACAATGAAAAAAATGCATTACTCAACCAACCATTGTTAAGTAATTATCAATGCTATATTATTTAGTCCTTAATGTTGATTAATTCTTATGGATTGAATAAGTAACGTAATCAGTGAATTAGGTCCTAAGATTGGTTGAAACATTAGTAAATTCACTTAATCAACCCAAGCTTCTACCTGAAGTTTGTGCTGATGATGTCGTTCAGAAGAACGATGAAAGCTCCACGACCAAACCATCCAGTTCAGAGAACAAAACTCCATCAAAAGTTTTCCAAATGGCTTTGACTGCCAATTAACGAACACATACTATGCATTCCTTATTTATTTCCATATATTTTTACATCCTCCATTCTACTCATACTCCACTCCAGGCACTAAATTTCGTGGACATCACAGACACATAGCTTGCCATATTTAAATTTATAACCAAAGTATTGATATCTAATTCCATTATTATTAACTTGATACATCTATAACAGTGGATGAAGATATGACAGTCAACGACCAAATATACTTTGTTTTGTGACTTCCAACATTCGTTTACAATTGTATGATAGAACGTAAAGAAGTGACTCACATTGCATTCGATTATTGACAAATATTTAAACATCTTTATTGAAAGTAATCATTGTATGTTCAAAACATTCAATATATCTTGAATACTTTTAAATCTGTTATCAACAACAATGGAAAGTGTCACAATAATCCCATTCGTTTTATGTGAAATAAATAACAAAACAAAATCACTAGACCCATTTAACCAAACTGGGTATTTTCAGACGATGACCAAAGTCGTGGTTATTTAAACATAAGCAAACAATCTTTGTTGAAAGGCAGTTTCTTTGACAGTGCGGCCAAGAGTGGGGAGAGACAACTCTCCCTCTTCAAATGCTCTCAAGAGGCTACGTGAATACAACTACCAACAGGGAAGTTCTACTCAATGCCTTCTAGTGGTGAGGGTTTTATTTACGAGATTGAGAGGATGAAAAGCGAACGTCCGGCGCTCTAACCGGATTGGTGAGCACGAAGAGTCGACTTAGAGTAGTTGGAAAAACCTCGCTCTAAACCAATGGTGCACATGGGCTTTTTATTTATTTATTTTAACATATAGATATTGGTACAAGGAGGTACCAAATACATATGCGCCCCACAAATCTTATCTGATATGTGTGAGGGCCGTGATACTGCCCGGGTGCCCAAACCGAAGCAGGTGGTTTCCTTAGGAGGCCATACTCGGAGACTTCGACCTGGAGGTCTGATCCACATGGCAGTGGAGCATCGTGAGGAGATGCAGTCCCATGGTAGCCGGTGACCAACGATTGGTCCATACGCCATTTGTTCCTTTAGGATACTGGAGCCAGCCCATGTGCACCACTGGTTTGGAATCAGGGTTTTCCAACTCCCCTAGATGGACTCTCCATGTCCACCAACCCGGTTAAAGCGTCGGACATTAGCTTTTCGTCCTCTCAATTTCGTAAACAACACCTTGGCCACGAGAAGTCAGTGAGTAGGACTTCCTTGGTAGAGACTATATACTTGTGGCCATGTGAGAGCATTTCAAGAGGGAGAGCGGACTCTCCTTACTCTCGGCCGTACCACGGCATTTGGGGGCAAACTAAAGATCCTGAGGAGAAAAATGGCGTATGAAACGATTGCTGGTCACCGGCTATCATGGGAATGAATCTCCTGACGTTGCTCCACTGCTTTGAGGATCAGGCCTTTAGGTCGGGGCCTCGGAGTGTTGCCCCCTCAGAAAACCACCTGAGTCGGTTTGGGCACCCGGGAATTAACCCAGCCCTCACATAAATCAAATGATTTATGTGGCGCATATCTGTTTGATGCTTTCTTGTACCAATGTTGATGTGTTTAAATAAATAAATAAATCAGCTTCTTTGCCGTTAAGATTTAGTTAACCGATGATATATATATTTCGGTATTTAAAGAGATAGTTGGATACTAATTTTTCCTCAGAAAGTGTATTGCACAGCCGTCCACTGTAGTTCTGAAACTTTGATATTGTGCCAAATTTTTTACTCTGGATTCTATTCGTTTTTCGAAACAATATTTTTTATGTTCAGTTTCTCACTCAAATGTTTGCTTTCGTTCGTTTACCTCTAGAGACTCTGAGAATCTTATTATTCTTGATTAATCAATATCTTACAATTACGTATGATGTTTGTCCTAATATCTACTTAATTCTACAAATTTTCTTTTACTGAACTATCACAAAGTGTAGCAACTTTGTGTCTAACACTTTGTTTTGAATTGGTGCTTCTTTTGTATAATGAGAATTTCCAGCTGTCATCGAAAGTACTCAGGAATTTTAAAGTGCAAAGTGTGTTACAGTTCAGTCACTATAACAGAAATCGAAAAGAGGTTGTCTAGCAATTCTGATGAGTTTGTGACGAAAAATGCCAAATAATAAAAATGAGCTAAATTGAAACTTTTCAAGTCTTACGTATGTGTTAATCTATCACCTGTCCAACATAAATGGTCACTATTTTCCTTTGAATCACGTAGAAGATCCTCACTACAAAGATACTTGATGATGGTAGAAAATGGTTTGCGTATAGAGAGATACTGAAAAAAGTCACCAAAGAAAATCAAATGAACATCAAGAAATTTATTAAACTATACTATGATATTAAATGTAACCAAAACACGCTAAAACTCAATAGAGAAGTATAGGTTTATTTAAGTTGCATCTTCGTTATCAATTAGCCAAGCTTGACTCATTTAATAGAAATATGGAAATATATGTGAAGTTAAGATTGATTGTATTTATAACATAGAACTGGAACACTAATTCCGAAAGTTAACGAGGGTTATTTTTGCGATAATTGCATCTTTGGATTATTAAACTGACAAACTAGCTAATGATGATAATGTTGTGAGAATCGTAACAGGAAATGTCATTTTTTAAAAATTATTTTACTGCCACGCTAGATAATATAGTTGGTATAACTTTAAGAAGTGATTTATGTGATTGTTTATTTTAACTGATAAAACAAATTTAGACTACTTGTTTCGATAGTGAAATGTATTATTTGCATGGACGGATTGAGTCTATGTATCTAATGGTTAAGTGTAATGTCTTTACATACTATTCTGTATATTACGTCCACGAGTATGCGATGAAGCTTAATTGTTAAGCTTTATCCATTTACACGAAATAGATTGTGCATGTTCTAATATGTTGCATTAGTTATTGTGATTTGGCTTACATACAATATCCAATTTGTTTCTCACTAGCTTGTTTTTCTCCATTCTAAAGTAAAAGGATTTGAGGGAAAGTGTGAATGACAGGTTTCAAAGAACTTTCTCCATAGGCAAACCAACAGTGAACGTTGATACATTCATCACACAGAGTGGGACTGGCCATCTGTTCACTTTTAGTGGTATAACGGTAGATGATGATAAGTCTGGCATACAACTTCAGTAAAATCGTATGGATATCTGTTCTTCTGAAAGAAGGGTCTCGTATAAATGTCTTGAGTTTTTTGTAATAAATATAGCCCTTTTGGATAACATCTAAAAACAACAAGTTTGTTTATACATAAGAGTATAGCGTTGAAACATTGTAGGGATACATGGAAGGATAAAAAAAGCTCCTGTAGTGGCTGGCACTATATCCAAACCCACATAGGTTATTCTAACTTCTGGACAGACCGATCTATTCATTCTTCTCAAGCCACATTTTGACCTTGTCAGTTATCCGCTTATTAATCCTGACTGTTTTTATATGATCGTATGTATGTTAATTGCTTACCCTATTCATCACCGATCTGTAACTTATTTTTTGTCTGAATATAAATATTGAGTCACGCTTGATTAAAGTGTTTTGGCTCACTTACCTTCTCTGTCGCGCGCCATTTTGTTTCGTTTCGTTTTCTTCACTTCGTTTTCCCGATTGTCTGTTCGAATCAATGGATGTATGCAATATACATAATCAAAATTCATTCTCTTATTTGGCTTATTTTATTTTGCCATTTCCTAACGCGAATTGAGTCGATAAAAATACACGGGGCTTGACAGCATGTATACTTCAATAACAATCAGAACATGATTTAACTGGAGTCAAATATGGGGGCTACTAAACTCCTTCCAGTGGACCCTGCTTCGTTTATTAAACATACACAAATCCCGATTATTTTTTACCACTTAACAGTTTGGCATACCTCAAACTGCCAGAAAGTAACTAGTATATAAAAGATTATAGACATACCATGATGATAAGTACAAACAAGCACATCTACTTGATGTAAGACATGTTGGTTACCACCAAGCATCTCATTCAAAACAAAGTATAATCAGATTTCATTCTATTTAGCCTACGGATCGCAAATCACTTTATTAGCAATCAGGAGCAAATCATCGTCATAAATACCGCATGATGATGATATCGTAAACACTTTTTCCAATTCGTATCTACACCATAAAAAAAATGAGACATTTTCACATGCATATATACAGAAAATATTTATGGATGTGCATACCTTGTTACGAATACTGTCCGCCCATGATTTCAGGATATCATAATTGCCGTAAATATAAGGATGTTTGTAATCCTGAACTAAGGTATCATGATCAACAAATACAAATTCCTGATGTCGTCGTTGCCTAAAATCAGTCCTGGAAGGAAACGACTGATGTTCTTTTGAGTTTTCTAATAAACAGTCACTGAAAAATTCATCCTATACAAATAACATAAATTTAAAAACTAAAACACTCCAATCCCAAAAAATTAAATACGTTTTGTCGTTAGTGATTAGTACAAGTAATCTTATATATATTAGAGGTATTGTTTGAATTTAGGTGCCAAACAACAAGAGCGAAAAGATTGGATGTTGTTGAAGCGTAACAAGCTGGCTGCTGAGAATATGCTTAGCTTTCAAAATATTCATATATTCTGTGCATCTCGGATTAAAAAACGATTGACAGCTATCAGTTAGTAAACTGATAGTAGTTAATGTAGTCCATTATACCACAAGCGGATTGCCATGTCAAATTAACTTATCAATAACGGTATATTACATATGCATAAACGATTGACTGGTCCAAAGTTAAACAAAGTTTCCAACTTAGACGATACGGTAAACAACTTGTGTGTAAACAAGAGAATAATTGTATTTGATTTTGTAAAACGATATTACATGATTATATATGATATTTAATGCTTTTTCACAAAATTACGCTGCCTAAGGCTGTAAGAATTAGTTTATTGGCCCCTTCAAGAAACTTGAACCATCAAGTAAGCAACACTTATGATATCATGAAAATGAACTGGAGAAAAAATTGCCCCTTGCATTATCTATAGCAGTTAGTGTTATCAATAACTTTCCATCCTGAAAACCGTGTACGTTTTCACTCGATTATTTAAGATGATAACAGATGAGTATGAAGATTTTCATTCACGAAATGGCAATTTCTGCTTGACGCGCCGGAGGAATCATATTTACCAACGATTTACAAGTAAGGATCAAACATGAAGGTTGTCTGATGAAGCCTTTAACCTAAAAACAATTTTATGTTCAATATATGTAAACGCCCGATTAGTCCGATTTCAAAGAATGGTGTTGACCTAGGTGGGAGGGAGGGATAAGAAAGTATTTAGCAACCATGTAGAAATAAAAATATATTGAATTTTCGTGACGAACTGTCCATAACTGGAATAAGGGGTATAGGAAATCTGATTATCACTTAAGACTGTGTATAATAGCTGAGCACATGTTGACAGGTGTATTAAATCAAATAGTACTTAAAAATACGTACATGATACGTCAACAACTGTGTACATATTCATGTTCTAGGTTAAAAGCTATATCTATCGTAATAACCTTGCTCCACAAACACCTTGATGGGCAGTGTTTGAAGTCGGATACTCAAGACTCAGAGTATATTATAAGTTAGTCCACAAACAAATAAAACGTTCAGCTAGAATTTTGTACCACAGCAATGTAACCGTTATACAATAAAGAACAAAAATTAAAAAAGGAAGATTGAATATAACATGATAAACTAATACTTAAGTTTGGATTGAAGAATGATCAGCGTCTTTATTGTGTACTAACACAGAAAGTGGCGTATGTTCGTCTAGTGGAACTAATCGATTCATAAGAAGTTAGTTTTATAAGTTTACGCTTGTCAGATGGCAAAGGACATATTCGGACCACTTGACTAGCTATACTTTATCTATTCAATGTCTAGATACATTCCTAAGACCTTTCTTGTCGACTAACGGTTGTAATGTTTGAGTAACTTAGTGTCTATAATATCTTACTTTCAATTCATTCAAACTAAGGTGATGTGTATTGGTAGACTAAAGACAAATTAGGAAGAACATAACAACGGCATTATAGATTTTTGAATAAGTATCATCTTATTTTGTAACATATCACAAAACTTCAATATTCGTAGTTTTGAGCTCACTTACCGACTTACAGTTGATCATGGGTACATTTAACAGAACAATATATTGTTGATCTACAGAAGTATATACACCGACAAGTTTATAAAGCCTGTTTGTTATTTAGACAACAATAAAATTGCCATATATGATTTGCTTTATTAACAATGGAAAAATTGTCATGTTCCTCAGAACCTATTCGAATAAAGGATACAAAACGCTTTTCCCAACGAGTCAAGTTGATAGAACTTGATTCAAATAAACTAAACAGCACTGTACAGCAACGTAAAGGATGATGAATTTTCAATTAATAAACGTGTTAGGAGTGAGAAGATGAACAAAAACACTTGTACCAAGACCTTCGGGATAATGTTTGATTAAAAATCCTATAAGGGAAAAGAGGCTCTGGAATTATGAATTAACCAGATAGCTCTAAAACAGAAAGTTTGAACAGGTATAAAAACTTTTGACGCAACGATGTACCTCAGGAATCAAACTTAGTGATCTAAGTACTCAGATTTGAGCTATGCTGCGTTGAAGGCTAGTGATAAAACTCTGTATACTATGCCGAAGAAAGTGAACCACGATCAGCGGTCAAAATTCAGTTGCTAAACTTATGAAATCACCACTCTATATTCAAAATACCGCAAAATTAATAACAAAACTCTGCTGAATAACACGTAAACTTACAGATTGATCCAGTCGAAAAAGTATAGTTTGAAGATTCATGATAGCGTCAGATATATGTATTTGTAATGGTCGAATAACCTGGGGGAAAATTTTGGAGTCTTTTAAACGTTCAGCAACACGAACAACCTGATCTAGAAAAACAAAGTGGATTTCACTTACTTTAAACTTGAAAATAGGGTGGTGTGGTGTATGTATGTAATAGGAATGAAACGACGATTAGCATAAGTTGACAAAACACTCTAAAGTTGATGTTAGCCAATATGACTCAACATGAAATCAACCACTTATATTGCAAGAGAATATAGTACCATTATAATAGCCGAATATAATACGGCGGAAAATAAATTTATCGAGCTAATATAAATGTTTGAGCGTCCAGTGAAAACCAACTTAAATAATTATAAATCCGGAATCCGGAATTACTAGAAGATATAAAACAACAGTTTATTACACTCTTACATTGAGAACTTTAAGCAGCCCCTAAATGCCCTGGTACGGCCGAGAGTAAGGAGAGTCCGCTCTCCCTCTTGAAATGCTCTCACATGGCCACAAGTATATAGTCTCTACCAAGGAAGTCCTACTCACTGACTTCTCGTGGCCAAGGTGTTGTTTACGAAATTGAGAGGACCTAAAGCGAATGTCCGACGCTTTAACCGGGTTGGCGGACATGGAGAGTCCATCTAGGGGAGTTGGAAAACCCTGATTCCAAACCAGTGGTGCACATGGGCTGGCTCCAGTATCCTGAAGGAACAAATGGCGTATGGACCAATCGTTGGTCACCGGCTACCATGGGACTGCATCTCCTCACGATGCTCCACTGCCATGTGGATCAGACCTCCAGGTCGAAGTCTCCGAGTATGGCCTCCTAAGGAAACCACCTGCTTCGGTTTGGGCACCCGGGCAGTATCACGGCCCTCACACATATCAGATGAGATTTGTGGGGCGCATATGTATTTGGTGCCTCCTTGTACCAATATCTATGTGTTAAAATAAATAAATAAATAACTCCCGAACGTTCGAAATTATAACCATCTTTAGTGAAAGAGTACATCTGGTCAATATACCGGACTTGTATAGCTTGGCACAAAATTTCGTCAGACTAATGCTTATATATATATAAAGAGAGGGAGATTGCGTGTGTGTGGTAAACGTAGTAACAGTATCAGTGGTAGTATAAAAGAATGCACAGAGAAAATGACTCGAGAATTAAGAATGGATTTGTGAGATGAACCTAGGATCTGAGGGATGATGAAAAATGAGTGCATCTGCAGCAATGTGACTGATTCTGAGCTGCTACCCAACATCTCCAACCATTGGTTACAATAATCACGTGGATCCCAATCAAGTAGTCTGCGTCCACCAACATGGGTCAGGCATTCAGTTAGTGACTTCATAGACGGATGATACGTTCTGATTTCGGCGACCCTAACAAGGGTAGCATTCCTACATTTCAAAACATACGGAACTCAAAACAACTTTCAACCAACATCAAAGTCACAATCTTTAATACGAACGTCAGGACAGCAGCAGCCTCCGCATCAGTAGGCCTCAACATATACAAAAGAAAATGCAAGATCCTCAAATACAATACGGAGAACACCAACCCAGTCACACTTGATGTAGAAGCTCTAGAAGAGGTGGAAACTTTCACGTACCTGGGAAGCATTAATGATAAACAAACAGGATCTGATGCAAATGTGAAGGCACGGATTGCCAAAGTAAGGATTGCATTCGTACAATTGAAGAACATATGGAACTCAAAACAACTATCAACCAATATTAAAGTCACAATCTTCAATATGAACGTCAAGACAATACCACTGTATGGAGCTGAATTGTGGAGAACTACGATAACGATCATCAAGAAGGTGCAAGTATTTATAAATAGTTGTCTATGCAAGATACTCAACATCCATTAGCTGGATACCATCAGTAACAGCCTACTGTGTCAGATAACAAACCAACTTCCAGCTGAAGAGGAAATCAAGAAAAGACTTTTGAAGTGGATAGGACATACTTTATGGAACTCACAAAACTGCATCACAAGGTAAGCCCGAACATAGAATCCTGAAGTGAGGTGGAAAAGAGGAAAGTTGAAGAACACACAGTGTCGGGAGTTGGAAACAGACGTGGAAAGGATGAATAACAACTGGAAAGAATTTTCCTGTACAGAGTTGGATGGAGAATGCTGGTGGGCAGCTTATGGTCCTTCACGAGGAGTAACGGGAGTAAGTAAGCAAGCTTATATATGTGTGGCGCATATATATCTGGTGCCCAATTGTACCAATGTTTATGTGTTCAAATAAATAAATAAATAATAAGCTTTCTTTCAACCTACCAAAACACTAGCAAACGCCATACATGGAGATGGACAGCGGTTATGCCCATAAGTGTCCTGTATTGTCCCAACCACCTTAATCGATGGATATTCGCTACACCACCAACCAATTTTCCACCTTTCTCTGGTACCACTTATCTAACCTCAGCACCGCTACTTCGACAGTTCTGACATACGCAAGTAATGCTTAGAGGGTATGTATGATCAAACACTACTAACCTACGAATAAGTCTTACTTTTAAAGGTTACGCCCAAAGTTGGGCGTTGGTCATGTTTTGTTAATGTCATTCGAGCAACTTTCACGTGTTGGATTTTTTGTCAACTCTTATTTATTTATTTGAACACATATATATTGGTACAGGAGTGCGCCAAATATATATGCGCCACACAAAACAATGAGAATTTAAGAAGAAAAAAAATGAGGAACGTAAAAAAAACAATAATGAAGAGATTGGTATAAGGGAGTGTAATAATAATAATAGTAATAATGAGGGAACGGAAAGGTACAATCAGAAGAAATCTTTCAGTTAAGGAAGATACAACCTTTTTTTATGAAGAAAGTAAAAAGTTACAGAAAGATCGCCACTGGCTTCTATTCTGAGCCATATCTGATAACGTCTCTAGCCACTGTGTTTCACCATCTCTCGGACCCCAACCAGGGAGTCGTGAAGGACCGACAGAAGCCAGTCCTTTGCAGCTTTCTTTCATGCCACGACACCATGTCATGCACTGACCACCTCTCCGCTTCTTCCAACCCGTCCCAGAGTCGGCAAATAATGCACGACGTGGAATTCTCTGGTACGACATTCGGAGAACATGTCCAAGCCACCGAAGTCGATGTTTCAAGATGGTGACACCAATTGAATTATCATCTCTGTGCCCGAACACACGATGCCGAACCTCTGCATTACTGACATGGTGTTGCCACTGAATGTCAGCAATCCTTCGGAGACAACGATGATCGAACACAGAAAGTCGTCTAACGTCCTCAACTCAGAGAGGCCAGGTTTCACAAACAAAGAGCAAATCTGCTCTCACCGACGCGTTGTAAATCCGACCTTTTACAGCCAGCCTAACATCACGAAGGCGCCAAAGGTGGCCCAGATTGGCATAAGCCGCTCTGGTTTTCACTATACGTGCATTTATCTTATCACTCACGCCACCAGCACTTATCCAGCTACCCAGATACACGAACTTCTCGACTACTTCTATCTGCTCACCATCCAGGGTTAGTACAGGATTGGAATCCTGCCAGTCTTGTAGAAGTACTTTGCACTTCGAAGGTGCAAAGCACATACCATACGTACGGACACTGATTGCCAACTGATTAAGTGCGGATTGCATGGCTTGAGCATTACCGCACAGTAAGACAATATCGTCCGCATACTCAAGATCGAGAAGTCTTTCTCCAGGCAACAGATCCACACCACCATTACTTACATCCATCAGAGCTGTTTCCAGAATGTCATCGATGGCAAAGTTGAAGAGGAATGGTGAGATCGGGCAACCCTGCCTAACCCCACTGCTCGAATAGAACAATGAAGAAAGGTGATTGTATGCCCTCACTCTACCTGAGGTGTTTGTATATAGGGCTTTTAGGATGTTAATAAACTTCTCAGGCACACCCTTCTTCAATAGACAATCGCAGAGAACAGTCCTGTCCAACGAATCGAAGGCAGCCCTGATGTCAAGAAACACTACGATTGTTGGCCTTTGAAAAGTATGGCGGTGTTCTCACATTTGGCGGAGGGTGAAGATATAATCAATACATCCTCGACCAGAACGAAACCCAGCCTGCTCCTCGCGAGTCAATCATTCTCAGGCTTTGAACAACCTACGAAGTATGACGGAAGCCAACAGCCTGAACGCAATCGGAAGTAGACTTATCCCCCGATAGTTGTTACAGGAACGACGTGAACCCTTTTTAAAGATAGGGACAACTATCGACTCATTCCATGACGTTGATACACTCTCTAGCTCCCGTACCTTAGTAAACAACGTCGTCAGTTCCTTAGTCAGAAAGTCACCACCATCTTTAAAAAGAGCCGAAGGTAAGTCATCTGGGCCGGGTGATTTGTAGCGCCTCAAGAGTTGGAGTTCCTTGCGGACTTTCGCCTCATTTGGTGGATCAGTCATCACCTGCCATGGGGGGCAGGACAGTCTGACCGATGCTGCCGGAGCAGCAGGCCAGTCGAAATGCCCTTCGAAAAATTCTGCCCATCGTCCAAGACGTCGATGGATGTTGGTGATTGGCATCCCATCACCCTCGCAGATTGTTTCGCTTACACCAGACTTCTTGCTGCCAGTAGCTCGGATGAGTTAGAAGAGCTTCCGGTAATTACCAGATGCAGCAGCTGCTTCCAGCTCATTAGCACGCTCCGACCACTAGGCTTCTCGGTCCTTACGCAAGCTTTGCCCAATTTCGCTACGTAACAACCTTCGTTTGTGGTCAAACTCACGGTCACTCGGAGTAGACCGACGGGCTTCAATGAGTTGTAAGGAGACTGAAGAAACCCAGTGCTTATAAGCGTTGTCAACTCTGAGACTTGATGGAAGCGATTAGAACATGGTATGAAAAACCGGTGTACAGGACTGAGATCCATTAGCCCAATCACAACTCCCTGGTTGAGTTTTAAAAATATAGATTAAAGCGTCGGACGCAAACACATACATCCAACCTCTTGTGACCAAACTACCTTAACTCATAGTTACCTAGACGGAAACAAACCGCTCAGAACGTTACTATGCATAGATTATCCCCATCTGAGCTAATACTAAGACGATATTATAAACATGAAAAACTAACTCCTAAGACAATACTGAAGGAGCTAAACAAGCCCTATTCGGAATCTAAAGGCAGCCAATACACAGTGAGTCTGTCAGGATTTCATCAACAGACTGTCTGTAATCTTCGATAAAGAAAGGAACTTCGTTTAATAAATAAATGGGACAGGCGTTTTGTAAGTCGGCATCCAAACAACATAAAAATAATACCTTTATGTAAATAACATGAAATATTCAACCTACCAATAAATGATAGCCAGTATTTATCAAAAGCAGTCCATAACAAAAAACATGTGGACAAACGACTAAAACAACTATGTCGACAAATGAGGGGTTGGATTACTCCTGAACATAAATTACAGTAACGTAGTTTAATCCATTCATTTATACAACTATCATTCACTGTAATCTGGAAGTAAAAAATTTACAAATATTTTACTCATATGTCTAACGTCTCAAAATTTCGAAGTTAAGAGACAAAAAGTAAAGCGGTCCTGAGAAATCTTAATATAGGGAATGGAAGATGAAATCTTACCGATGAAACCAAATTCAAACTGTCATAGGATTTTTGAACAATCTCGTAGTTCGACGTTATCAATTCCACGACTACCAGTAGCATACAAAAAATTGTGTCTTTATCAATGAGTGTTGAACCTCATTAACTGCTCTATCTTATTTAACGGGCGTTGTAATCAACCTCATATTTACTTACTCGGAGATTACACCCAAACAACTCCGAAATTCTGATGAGACCTTGATAACACGTTACAATTAGAAAAACGTCGCTACGGAACCAAAACAGAACCAAACTACATCTTACTTTAGCTTTCCCGACCGTTGTTGCTACCTTGACGTGGTGGTCGGGCTTGCCTATCGTGATGAACCAACCGAGCTATACTGGCTGGAACAACCGTTCCTCAAGGTCCTACCATGTCAGACAGGTCGGTTGAAGAGCGGCAAGACCAACAGTAACAAACCTAAGGTCCGAAGGCGAAGTAGTACTGCTGACTGTATAGAGGTGCGGCAGCAGTAAAATGTTTCCTTCAGACAACCAGCATGACAGCGATGCTGCCTTCCCACAAGGAGGGGTGGGGTTAGAAAAGATCGACCCCAAAAATGCACACCTCACCTTATCCCACGGATATCCGTCTCCGGCGGTAAGGTCTCTACAAGTAGGGAGCTAACACAAAAATTACTCATAAAAAGGTCGTGTGTGACCGACCACAAGCAGTTGTCCCTTGGGCACTGCGGTCACGCTCTCAGGTCACTAAAACCACCTCTAATCCAATTTCCTTTTCAGGTACCTCCAGAAGAACCCTTCCACGATGTGGGCAACCGGGAAGTGATAACCGCCCTCATACCTCTAACAGCACTCAAGACCACTGTATTCATAATAAACCTCCGTCTTCGATTCCTATTATTCCTCCTACATCGACTTCCAACGCTAAACTTCCTCTTTCGGCTTCCTCCTCAAGTGTCACCATAGCCAACGATTCTAGTGCTCAAAACTCTGTCCCAGGTCTACTGAAACCTCGCTCCAAACTACACATTGAAGTCTTCAACGTACGCACCCTATGTCAAATCGGTCAGCAGGCTTCCTTGGCTAGAACCCTAGAATCTCGTACCATTGATGTATGCTGTGTCTCCGAAACACGCATACAGGATTCCAGTGTGGTCATTCACTTGACCTCACCTCGGCAAAACGGAGAGCCAACGAGATACACCCTTCGTGTATCTGGTGACCCGATGGCCAGTTCTCGTGGACTGGCAGGTGTAGGCATAGCACTAAGCATGAGGGCGGAACAAGCACTGTTAGAGTGGATCCCCGTCAACAGTCGTCTATGTGCTGTTCGGCTAAACGGCTCCGTATAAACTCGGAAGGATAGGGACACACGTCGTTGCCTTTTCGTCGTTTCTGCTTACGCTCCCACCGACTGCAGCTCAGATGAAGTGAAAGATTAATTTTACAGAAAGCTATCTGGACCTCTTCAGAAAGCTAAACGTCCAGACATAGTACTCGTAGCAGGTGACTTTAATGCCCAGATAGGTAGTTTAAGCCAAACAGAAAGGCATCTAGGTGGGTATTTTAGTATTCCGGAACAACGAACAGATAATGGTGATCGTCTGCTGCAACTGTGCTCAGACAATTGTTTATTTTTAGCAAACACAAATTTTAAGCATAAGGAGAGATATCGTCTAACATGGCAACCCCCTACACCAAACCAACGATGGACTCAAATAGACCATATTTCCACCAGTCATCGTTGGAAAGGGTCGGTAGAAGATTGTCGTTCATTCTGGAGAACCTGCTTGGACTCCGACCATGCCCTAATACGGGCACGCAACCAAAAGTAGGTTCCAGGAACAACCGAGGTCACACTTAGGTAGTTCTAAAAACGAAACTGACCCTGATGTTGCTTGGAAAGATAAACAAACAGCAGTGACATCTATCAGTGATTTAAACCACAGGGTTACAAAGAACCAATGGATTTCTTCAAGGTCTATTGCACTGATGGATCCTTGTAAACTCATCCCATCGGGTTCTGAAAATGATGAAGATCCTCAAAAATCAGATCCAGGTTGAGCAAAAGTCTAAAGAACGACCATGAGCAGTGGTGGGCAACGAAAGCAAAAGAGATGGAAAAGGCGGTGGCTATAGGGAACACAAGATAGCTCTACAGACTAATAAAAGAAACTGGAATTAATAAGTCAAGTGTAAGTCAGATTATCTCGGAAGAAGACGACACTCTCATCTGCTCCCAGTCCAGACGTTTAGAACGATGGGCGGAACAATTTAAGGAGCAGTTCAGCTGGCCTTCAGCTACTCTACAACTACCCTCCATTCCCAGACAGTGTGAATGGAACATTGAAGTAGGTCCCCCAACTCTAGCAGAATTTCAAAAGGCTATAGTTAATCTGAAACGAGGAAGGGCAGCTGGTCCAGATGGATTGGCTCCAGAGGTCTTTAAGGATGGTGGTCCGATTTTAGCGATTAGGTTGACTAATATTTTAGCTAAGATCTGGGAGTTAGACGTTATCCCATCTGACTGGTCACAATCACTTATCGTCCCAATACATAAGAGAGGGTTAAAATCATCCTGTGACAACCATAGAGGGATTAGTTTAACTAATATAGTATCTAAAATACTAGCCTCAATAATTATCGGACGGCTAACTAAGACTCGTGAACTGCAAACACGAGAGAATCAAGTTGGCTTCAAACCTGGTCGTGGATGCATCGACTACATATTCACTATTCCTCAGGTTCTAGAACACATACTTATCAGCGTCCGGCAATGGTGGTCTTTCTTGACTTAAAAGCAGCTTTTGACTCTGTAGACCGCGAGATTCTGTGGCAGTGTCTGTCATTGAAAGGAGTACCTCAGAAGTACATAAACCTTGTGAAGATTCTTTACTCCAACACTACTAGTCAAGTTAGAGCTTATGAAGAACTGTCATCTGCTTTTGCAACCTGAAGCGGTGTCCGTTAAGGCTGTCAACTTTCTCCAATGTTGTTTAACTTCATCATAGACCTAATGATGGAAATACCATTCTCGTCGACTGAATTCTCGGGCATTGATCTCCTTCCAGGAGGTCCACTTATCGACTTACAATATGCAGATGACATAGTCCTGTTTGGTCAAGACGCTGATAAAATGCAGAGCCTTCTGGTAGCACTAAGCAACAATGCCAGAATGTTTGGAATGCGCTTCTCTCCCTCCAAATGCAAGTTGTTGCTTTAGGACTGGTTTGCGTCTACACCTGAACTAAGGATAGGGAGTGAAGTGGTCGAACGCGGTGACAACTTCACTTATCTTGGAATTATGATCAGCCCTAATGGGTTGGTGTCTGACGAAATCTCAGCACGGATTCGAAAAGCTCGTTTGGCTTTTGCCAAATTACGTCACCTATGGCGAAGGCGAGATATCCGTCTGTCGATTAAGGGACGAGTATACTGCGCCGCAGTCCGTTCTGTTTTAATTTACGGCAGCGAAACATGCCCATCACGAGTAGAAGACACTCGTAAGATACTAGTATTTGACCACAGATGCCTTAGAAATATTGCTGGCGTCTGCTGGCATCACCGGGTAAGTATTAGTGGGGTTAAATGTAGGGTACTAGGGAATCATGGTAAATCAGTTAGTGAGGTTGTGAATCTTCATCGACTGAGATGGTTGGGCCACGTGTTACGTATGTCCGAACACCGATTACCACGACGCGCAATGCTAACCGGTGTTGGAGATGGTTGGAAGAAAGTTAGGGGTGGCCAAACCAAAACGTGGCATCAGTGATTGAAGTCACTGACTTCTAGTCTGAGCCATGTTGGTAGATGCAGATTACTTGGTTGGGGTCCGTGTGACTATCGTAACCAATGATTGGAGACTCTTGGTGACATGGCTCAGAATCGGTCACAATGGCGTAGGTATATACACTCTCTGTATTCCCTTAAACTAAGAGATTAAAATCGCTTCATATCTTTCTTTCTACGAACTAATTCTTTCTTCCTGTACTATATCCTTATATGCAATCTTTCTTTTGTACATCACCACCTCTGAATTAACTACTTTTATGAATCCGGTGTTCATCTTGTTGTGTTAATGAGGTATGGCAACTTGGACCGATGCAATATGTGTCTGGTCCTACGTTTTAGCTGACTGACTTATTTTAGCTTCGATTATGCGAAGATTAATCCAGTATATAGTTAGCTCATTAGGGCTTAACTCAGTACCTAATATTACAAAGATATTAAGAATAAAGTGAACACTTGTTCTAAATAACTTAGTTGTTCCTAATTGTTAATTAATCACCAATGCTATACCGTAGTCAAGTACAAATAAGTGCACAAGGCTATGGGCTTTGTTTAGATTTGGTCGTCTGAAGCAAGAGTAAATTTTGAACGTGAAACGCGATTGAAAATGAACTAATATAAACTAAGCCTTAACTAGAAAATATACAAAACTAGTACAGGCACAGTAAGTTAGTTGAATAGCTTGCAATTTGTTTGTAAAAGTTTGGAACAACAAATCAAGAATGACTGGTGTCGCTTACCTTTGATAAAAACTGAACCACATGATCTCCTAACAGGAGACTATTCCTAAGAATCCTAGGAGGAGGAAATGCGCGAGTTGCCATAAACCTTATTATTTCAGGCGCTTGATCAAATGGCTTCAGAGGTCTCAACTTGGATGCAACGCAGTTGGCTACAATACTATCCGGTTCAGTTTTTACAAACAGCATTACATGGAGTGCACGAATTAGCAGGCCATCGAAAAAGTCATCAACCAACGACGCTATATTTTGCCGGTTTCCCAGCATATAACTTTCCAGTTCATGGAAGAATGCCTCAACAAAATCCTTGTTTTGATCATAGTTATATCCGTAGGAGTTTACAAAGAGGTCATGAAAACTTTTCAATGTTAGCTTCAAACTCCCTAACATATAGCCTGGATAATTAGTCAATGTTATGTAACAAACCTTGCAGATAACGAGCGTCTTCCCTTAAATTCTGACTTATGTTAAGCCAGAATATGCGCCAGTGCTTAGTGAATTCAGATGCGCCAATAGACACAATGTTTTTCAGCGACTCCTCATTACAGCAATCATTAAACTCAGATCCGCCGTTCTCTCTGCACAAATTGACCAATTGATCTAAAGATAACAAAATGTGGCTTTAATACAAACGTTACTAGATTCAATAGGATGGGAAATGTATTTATTTAAGATTTCTCTAGCCAACATACAATGTGAATTAACACTCTTGAACTCTGCAAGCCACAGGTCTTCAAATAATATGATGACGAAAACTGCATTGTAAACCCACATTTCCGCCTGAAAATTACATATCTAAATGTATGGCTCGTGTCTAACCTGAAAGTACTTTGAATGCAGGCGAAGTGCAGAACTGCGTGATCATAGAGAGCTTTGGATGATAACAACAGAATTGAGTTGAGTCAACAACCATATAGAGTGCGATTACATTTAATAATGGGAGCGATCGAAAACAATTAGAAACTAAACACGAGTGGGATAAGCAAAATCTGTTAAACGACACTCAGTTGTAATTCGCTCCAGATATCTGTTTGCTTTCTGATTGGTTCACTTTTACAAACATTGAGGTGGAGGTCATTGCCATATAATCCTCCACATTCACGAGGTCAAACGCTGTCAATTGACCTATTTATACAAATGGTTGTTGCTTTTTTGTTGATCATGCAAGATTCAGTATTATTTCTCTCTATCACAATTCCATTATGATACTGTCAACTTCGAGAAGATTTAGCAATCCTGATGCCCTATTATTTGTAGTCTTACGCTAACTGTGACAAAAATGCCTTTCGAGCAAACTGTAGCGGTAAATAAACCCCCAAAATAAATAGCCCTAAGTTTTCGACATTGGATGCTGACCATATGTTTTAGTGGACTCATCTAGCTGAAGGCGCTCGGTCATGCATCCGCACCAGATCACGTGTGGTAACGCTGTGCTCAACATCAACCACAATCGCTAGCCAGATTAGATCAGAGAATCCCGATATATTGGTCATCGCCAAATATACTCTTCCGATCTCCTCGACTCTGTCTTTTGATTTCTCTGGGTGGGAACGAAGTATATTAGAGGGTGTTACTGGTAAAAGCGTTGTCAAACACTGAATACCTGTGACATCATCATTGGCGAGCCCGACGTGATCTGTAAAAAAGTGAGCTTAATAACAGTTAATTACCTTTTTACTCCCTGATCATGACCCTTCGGCTTCCTTTTATGGCCAAAGCAGCAAACATACACTAGACACTGGTAGCAGATTTCCGGCTTTTCAATGTTAAGTTTGCTTTAACGCACTGAGTAATGAGTACAACCCCTCTATCACTGCTATATGGCATATTTTTCATAACAAACCCTCTGCAATAGATTGGTAGCATCTGTGATTTCATCTATAGTTGTCGGAAGTCTGGGTCCTTTCGAAATCAGTACCGATATACCCTACTGCTGGTCACTCTGTATTAGTTTGACTCGTTGGTGGGATAGTGTTGTCAATACTACTGAAGAAAATTCAAAAAACGCACTGTTTCCTTTCATTTTGCCGATAACATCATAAAGGACGGTTAGGAACGAACATGCTAACAGTTAGAGTCACAGGTGGCCGCAACAATTATTTTAGCTAAATGAAAACGAACTTCGGATATCTGGAAAACAAGGTAAAACATAACCGATTGTCGTTTGAAAACGTAAGGTCTTATGTTAGTACTAGCCAGCTTAGCTGAATAAACACAGTGACTTCATTAGCAGCAGGTAAAACCCAGAAAACAAAGCAAAATCAGAAAAAACTTTGCTCCAACGTTCAGAGTATTACACTAACTTCCGAATTTTAGCACACTGAAACATCAAATTCCGTAGCTACACAAAAGAAATAGCTGAAAGAAGCACAGAACGAAGAAAGCCGACCGCCATTGCTTACGAAGATGACGGATGTAATAATTCCCGCCTCATTCTGATTGGTTGCTAAGCTGAAGGGCACATTTACGACATTGAGTTGCGTTTAATTGCAGCCCACACTAACATATAATTTGAGGCATTCCGTCATGTATATTTGATATGCATAAAAAAATGATGTATATTCCTCCTGCTTTTCACGTTAGAATGCACAAGGTGTTTGCGCTAGTTATCAAATAAATTTACATCGATATGTGTAATTAACACATGTGATTCATCTAGGCTTGATTCACCTGCAAAACAATCTATTGGGAAATATGCATCTGCCTCATGCTTATTAGAATAATTTTGAACTAGGTTTGAATTTTCTGTCTGTGCAAACTTCACATCTGAACAAACGGGTTCTTTGACTGATTCGGGAAAATTTGTTGTCTTGTGACTCATCATACCACCGACTGGGGATTCTACTCAACATATTGTAGCGGTAAATAAATCCTCAAAATAAATAGCTCTGTAAGTTTTCGACATTGGATGCTGACCATATGTTTTAGTGGACTCATCTAGCTGAAGACGCTCGGTCATGCATCAGTACCGGATCACGTGTGGTAACGCCATGCCCAACATCTACCGCAATCGCTAGCCAGATTAGATCAGAGAATTCCGATATATTGGTTATCGCCAAATACACTCTTCCGATCTCCTGGACTCTGAATTTTGATTCCTCTCGGTGGTTACGAATTATATTAAAGGTGTTACTGGTAAAGGCGTTGTCAAACACTGAATACCTGTGTCATCTTCAATATATTGTGAGAACATCTGATACAACATCGGAGTTGTGACTGGAATTCGACTTATTCGGAACATATTTGTCACACTGACTAGCGGATTCATTAGGGGTGACCTCATGATGAGGATAAACAATAGTTGTTATAGAACCATCCGAATTGAAACCAAAGTCGAGCTCATTTAGTACGAATGCTTCGCATTAAAAAATTTTCCCACAAGAAACATATGCATTCTAAGGACAAATAACATTTGGTATGACATCAGAATTTGACTAATCTGGAATATATTCTTCTAGTTTATAAAGGATTTTATTGAAGAATAATGGATCATTAGTAAAATCATCAGCTAACAAAACTGCATCAGCTTTTTAATCATGATTCCATTCATTCAACATATTTTTCTCATACGTATAAGAAATTTCATTGAAAATATTTAAACCATTAGGACAAACCACATCTGATACAATAACATGAGAAATTCGATAAGAATCTGATTGAATAGAAACAATGATTCTGAGTTTCATCTAAATGTGGACTGTTATGTGACTCTATACTGCTTTTCAAAGTGGTGGATGAAGATAAATTATCATTGGAAGCACTCAAATTAATGGGAGCAGAGCTACAAAGTTTACCATTACTCGAAGCGAAATGAACAATAGTTTTGCATACTGACTGAATTTGTCCAATCATACCATATAGAAAACATTTAGCATTACGAAATACACAAGGATAACATGAGTGAAATCTGCCACAGAAGAAATGTTTAACAAACGTATGCTGATCTTTGTGATCCGATTTGCGACTCCTTAATGAATGGTTATCTTGATTATTTAAATTACTCAACGGATCGGGATGTTGTAGTAACGTAGTGGAATTCTTGATGTTCAGACGAATTATTTTATGTTATGTTTCTCCTTTACAGCATTTGAAATTTGTATACTTTAAATGGTCTGGTAGTAGTTCATTGACAGGAAGGTGAAATCGGCTTATCTGGGAATCCCAAAATTTTTTACAAGCTCTGGACTTTTTGCCGATGAATTTGAGGAAATGAACCGTTACATTCACAAACTCAATATCTTCATTGTTCATAGTCCGGATTTCAAACCTTTCAAAATAGTCCTCAAAGGCAGCCCAATTTGAATGTATGTCCAACTATTCCATCACAGGCTTGATCGAGACACAAGTGTGATGATTAGAAGTATTTGAACTATTATATTGAGTAAGAATCCCCGAAATAACTCAATTATTGCCAAATATAACCAATTGATCACAATGAAACATATTGATTTTGGAATTTGAAATAGGGCAGTCATCAAGTACAAAGAAATCACTAGGTCATACAAACACCTTACAGCTTTCTAAGATTTGCTTCCTACTGCAAATGTTTTGTACACGATGTCGCATCTCTGGCAGCAGCTTAACATCACCTGACTCATAAAGGACGACACATTTTATGAACTTCAGAGTACCAACAGCCAGTTAACACTTAGAAGTCATGCTTACTGCTCCGCTCATACCAGTTGTTCAGGATACGCCGGTTAATCGGGGTGAGGTTTTACTAGATGCGAAAGCTAACTCGTCAGCTATCAGAGCAGTCCTGTCTAAAATTGCAGAAGATGGTTATGAGCGGGTCATAGCTTCTGCTAGTCAGCGTCTGGATTAAAGGGAAACGGGATATTCTACAACATGCCGGGAAATGCCGGCTGTAGTGAAATTGTTGCGGCATTTTTGCCACTACGTCATAGGATGCACTTTTCGTACATTCATAGACCATCATGCATTCCAGTGGCTTCGTTCGTTTCTCAAGCCAGAAGGTCAAATGGAGCGACGGCAGGAGCGTTTGGAGATTTCTGCTTTACTTGTGAGTACCGACCTGAAAGCCGACGTACAAACACTGATTCTCTATATATCTTATTCCCCTGTTCTTAGAAACAAACTAGACTTATTTCAATTGTCATATAGAAGAACCAGATGGTATTTAATTACGATAAATCTGCATCTGATATACCCCAATTTTTCTTGTTTTTCGTAACAGAGGAGTTACAAAGACACTTCAATAAAGTTCACAAGCCTAGGACAAATTACTTGTCAGCTGACTATCGAATTTTCCATCGAATCATCAACGAACTGAATTAGTTACCTCAACACGTGATTGAAGCTCCATCTGTGGACTCTTTCAAAAGAAAGTTTTATCAACTGAGAGATCATCGTTGTCAGGATTAACACGGGCCACCTAGCTTTACCAAACGCCGATAACGTGTGTTACACATAATTGCCTTGGTTTGACCGCTTCTGCAAAACCTTACGGACAGTCGAGTTGATGCACCAATCGTTTGGCGACAATTTGACCTTCAAGTGCTCAGTAACCTCCATCAATGGACGATGCAACTGGTAGTCGTGCATGTGCTATCGCCATTTGTTATCGATTGCTTTCACTGTTGAATCCGAGTGCATCCTATTCGCTTACAAGATCATTTGCTAACCTTCCATATCATTCCTTTTCTACCAGATTTACTCTCTACTCTGCTCACTTTTTCAACTCAACATACTTTCAGCATATACTCGAAGCGCTGCACAAATGCTTACTGCCTGCAGAGAGGTTTATTTATCTCTAAAACACTCATTCATAAGCTGGAATTTAAGGTTTGCTTTTTAAAAACTTTGAAGCATCACTTACAGAAATGGTATTGTTAACGAGACTTCTCTACCTGATGTTGTGATGTACGTCTTATGTATTTCAAGTAATTAGGTTTAGTGATTCAGAATTTGGCAGACGAGTTCCCACTATCTCACTCTTGACGGTTTCTTCGAAGGGTTCATACCTGTCTGCTGCAGATAACCTAAAGCGGTTGTTTCTTTATGTTAATGAAAATGACCACTGGTTATTGGTTTCACAATTGTAGGTGACACTCATATTCGTTTAAATTTGTTTAGGAAGC